AAAAAAAAAAAAAAAAAAGTCCCTTTTTTTACCAAAAAAATTTTATTTTATTATTATTATTATTTTATTTTTCCTCTTCTCTATTACCTTTGCTTTTGCCTCAAATCTTTCCCTCCATTTCCAATTGAAAACGGCAATCAATTTTTGTTCTGTTTTTCTTATTTCTTGATGAGAGCCCACCACTGTTTTCTTACATTCTTTCTCTCATTCCCTTTCAAATTCTGGTAAATGGTCAAATTTTTTTTTTTATTTATTTTGTTTTATTTATCCATGTGACATTTAATGTTTAAGCTCCTCTTCATATTTCTTACATGATTCTTGAGCCTCATTTCTTCATAAATAATGCATCTTTTTTGATAGTGTGACTTACAAATATAAATAGAGCCTTTCTTGATTTTTCTGGTTTATATTATATTGCCTTGTAACAAAAAAAATATCAAGAAAAGATTGAATCTTGCTAATAGCCCATTTCTTCAAATTAAAGATGGAAGATTATGAAGTGGTGGAGCAGATTGGGAGGGGGGCTTTTGGAGCTGCTTTTCTTGTTCATCACAAGGCTGATAAGAAGAGGTACATATAAGAGAAATCTGCAACCATTTCTTGGCCTCTAACCTGCTCTGTTATGCTAAAACTGGTCTGTGATTTTCTTCCGCTTTTTCGGTTTTCTTGATGTGCTTTATAGGTATGTTTTGAAGAGGATTCGGCTTGCGAAGCAAACAGAAAAATTCAAGAAAACTGCACACCAAGAGGTTGTTTTTTTTTTTCTCCATCTGTTTAAGTTATGCCTTTCTTTATCTTGCAAAGTATTTGGTTTCTGATTTTTTATGCTTTTATTTATTTAGTTAGTTATTCTCCTAGGAATGGTTCTTGTGGGTTATTATGAGTTATCTTTTTGTAAATAGTTCTCAAAAGTAGCTGTAAATATCAAAGACAATTGAATTTGCTACAAGCAGGGCAGATCTCAAGGGCCCTTCCTTTTTGTTTCTATTTTTTTCCTTTTATATGTTCTTATATTAGGGAGAGATGCTACAACGGTTAGGTCAACTATCTCCAACGGTAACGGTTACAAACTCCCGACTTCGGACGGTAGCATTTCCCTATATTAGGTGTACCTATGAATGCAACCTTTTTTTGTTCTACATAATCAAGATTCAATGCATGTGGAATGACCACAACAATACCTCCTACCTATCTATGATGATGACAAGGAATTTAATGATATATGGGATAGGGCTGACAATTTGTGCCATCTTTTCATGCTATCTATTCTATTTCATCAAGAATATTGTGGTAAGTATAAATTTAACTAATTAATTTAAAATACTCCTTTTTTCGTGTCGTATTTCGGATTATACCGTGCCGTGTCGTTTATCTCGTATCATTTATCCCTAATTTTATTTTTAATAGTTGGGGTAAAACTAAAGTGAACTAATCAAGAAATGAAGAAAGTGATGTGTGTAACTTGCTTCTTTTTTTTTTTCACACAATTTTATGTTATAGTTTCTAATTTAGTGCACATTTAAGTAAATTGTTTTGAATCTTTCTTTGTTCTTGCAGATGGCTCTAATGGAACAGTTAAACAACCCATATATTATCAAGCACAAGGACTCATGGGTGGAGAAGGTAAAAATTAATTACCACTAAAACAAAATATTTTCTTCTACATTTCCTATTTACTTGATATATATGTCCCCATAAAACATAAAAATTTATGTGTTATATGATTAAGCAGGACTCCCATGTGTGTATTGTGACTAGTTATTGTGAGGGGGGGGACATGTAAGTGTCATTAAGCTTTTAAATGTGTATTAATTAGCCCAAACAATGTTAAGAAAACAATTTTGGTAAAAAAAATTTTATGGTACTTTTTTGTTTTGGTCTCAGGGCAGAGATAATCAAAAGAGCTAGAGGGGTACATTTCTCAGAAGAGGTAAGGGACACTAAAAACAACCGTAATTTACGCTCGGTTATTTACGTTTGTTAGTCCTGAAGTTTATGTTTTTTCTGCAGAAGATATGCAAATGGCTAACTCAGCTGCTTATAGCTTTGGATTACTTGCACTCTAACCGCGTCCTCCATCGAGACCTCAAGGTAACGTTTTGTTTTGTTAGTCGATCCAAAATAATCGACTTAACGAGCGTTTAGTGCATTTTTCTGAATGATCTTTTTATTTCCACTTCAGTGCTCGAACATTTTTCTCACAAAGGAATACGACATCAGGCTCGGTAAGACCAAAGTATTCTCGTGTAATAATTAATGACTTAAACTTATATATAATAACCCCTCGTTTACATGCGTCTGATTAATTATATCTTGCAGGTGACTTTGGACTTGCAAAGTTGCTCGAGAAGGACAATCTTGCTTCATCGGTAATATGAAATTTTGTTGTTACCCGTTTTTTGGTGGTAAAATACTTTTGCGAATGAAATAATCGAGCTCTTTCGTCGAATTCCATTGCGTTTATGATTACGAATAGGTTGTGGGAACTCCAAACTACATGTGTCCTGAAATTCTTGCAGATATACCTTATGGCTATAAATCAGATATATGGTCATTAGGTAAATTTATTTATATATATGTTTAAATCACAACAACATTTTTTATTTCAGGGAAATGTTACGTTCCCGTTACGGAACCATTACGTCGGGATTTGTAACTGTTAGATCATCATGTAACCATCAGTGATAGTTGATCTAACGATTACAAACACCGACGAAATAGTTCTGTAACAAGACCGTAGCATCTTCCTTTATTACAATCTTTGAATCCTTGTATTTTAACAAGCAAAATTTGTCAGGTTGTTGTATGTTTGAAATAGCAGCCCATCAGCCTCCATTCAGGGCTTCAGTAAGTTGCAGACCTCAACTCTTTATAGTCAATATTATATTACCTCTAATTCACCTCTGTATAAATAAAAAAATTAGTAACTTATATATGCCAACAATTTGTTTGATTAAACAGGATATGACTACACTTATCAACAAAATAAACAGATCCACACTTTCTCCTCTCCCCACAATATATTCTTCTACTCTGTAAGTAAATTTTAATTTGCATGCATTTTGAATCTCCTAAATTTCCGAAAATTTTTCCGATTTCGATTCATGGGCTCGAAAATCGACCTTGTAGGAAGCAACTCATCAAGAGCATGCTTCGGAAAAGCCCGGAACATAGACCAACGGTTAGTCTTCGCATAAATGAAATCGTACATAACTCGATATGATGTTGTAACTTGTACAGTACCTTGACTCGGTTTTGATATGATTTTAGGCTGCAGAACTTTTGAGGCACCCACATTTACAACCGTATGTCGCACAATATAGCAACTTATCGCACGTCTTTCTTCCGGTCAAATCCGAAACTGATGCAAACTACCAAATGCCGACAATTCAAACGTACGAAAAGGGCGTGGATAAAAAAGGGAGCATTAATCCAAAGAAGAAAAATCCGATACTGGACAAAAAGACAAAAATGCCGCTGACATTCAAAACCGCTAACCATAACGAGCACACAACGGATGTCAGTCCAGAAAAATGTAGGGAACTGGCCAATAACACCGATGCAAGTGATAATCCAACCGAAAGAAAAGGTACAATTACAAATAACTCGAGATCCTCATCCGGGTCGAGTACTTTGACCGATAAAACCGAGCCCGAGGTTTCGGGCGAACAGAAAGCCGAAGCAATGGAGACATTGCTCGAGCTGTGTGCAAAACTCCTTCAGCGGGAGAGGATCGAGGAGCTTTCGGGTATTTTGAGGCCGTTTGGCGAGGACGAAGCTGTCTCGTCGAGAGAGACTGCTATTTGGTTGACTAAAGGGCTGATGAAAATTCAAAGGCCAAGTGGAGAAGCCTAACAATACTAGCAGCAGCTCTAAGGTGTTGGCTGCATATATATATGCATTTATTTTTCTTGCCTATTTATGTAAATTGTATATTTGTGTCTATTGTTAGTTGTGATGTGATTGTCTATGGTAGATGAATTTGAACCAATTTAAACTGGATTTTTTTTTT